CAGGCGGCGCGGGCCGGAACCACGGCGCTGGCCTTCTTCAGCTCCAGCGTCAACCCGGTGCTCTACCTCTTCACCGCTGGGGATCTGCTGCCGCGCGCGGGCCCCGGCTTTCTCACGCGGCTCTTCGAGGGCTCCGGAGAGGCTCGAGGGGGCCGCTCCAGGGAGGGGACCATGGAGCTCCGAGCTATCCCTCGGCTCCGAGTGGCGGGACAGGGCCTGGGCAATGGAGACCCAGGGGGCGGGGCGGCGAAGGACAGTCAAGAGTGGGACCCTTGACGCCGAATCCTGCTCTCCCCTCTCCCCTTCCATCACCCGTCAGAATTCAGAGAACCACAGAGGCGCGTTTGGGGATCCTCTGACCAGTTTGGATCTGTCGGGGCAGAATTATTATATGCCTGGGGCAGGCCCAGGTTCCAAACTGAGGGATTGCCAAGGGTGATGGTTCATGTTAATGAACATTGTGCACTTGCAGACTGACATGTGCCCATGTGCCAGAGCTGCTAAGTTGGTGCCAATAGTTATTGTGAAAGACTGTGCAGCCGTTACCATGGCTTAAGTGTGCACTCCCTTGGCGGTTCAGCCTGAGTGGTACTGAAGCCACCTGGTTTCCCTGCTGGGTCAGGCCAAGGCTGGGCAGTGCCAACCTTCAGTGGCATCTTGACCTGTCCTCCCCAGCTCAGGTGGCCTGGTTCCCTCAGGCCAACCCATAGAACCACTTGGTAAATAAAGGGAAGAGTAGGAAAGAAAGATATGGGTGCTTGGATGTGGGGTGGGGATGGGATTCATTCTCTGGGGTCTATAAGAGCCAAGGAGGCAGGAGGTCTAACCCTGGGAACTGGAAGTCAATCTGAGGGGTTCAAAAGGAAAGTTCTCCTGTCTGCCTTGTGGTTGACCCAATGGGGGAAGGGCCCTGGGTGTCTGAGAGTATCTTCCTCTTTGAATTCAACTCTCCCCCAAAGGTCATCTGACTCAAAAGGAGTGGGCACTTGCTCGTCCAGAGCACATTTGGGTGTTGGAGATGAGAGAGTATGAGGCATGGTGTGGAGACTGGAGGACAGGAAGAATTTTTTAGGGAGGTACCACTTCTTTCTCCTTTTTCTCACTGCCAAGTCTTGACTCCTCCCAAGACTGCTAGCTGTTCCTCACCTGTCCTCCCCAATCCTCCCCAGCCCCCATCTTTTGGAATTTCTTTACCTCTAGGCCTCAAAACTGTTCTGGATCCTGATACTTCTGAATTTGGGGGTGCAGGATGGGATTCTTTTTAGGGGACATCCACTTGCACACACATGTGGTCACTAGGATGAGCAACTCAACCTGGTTTGCCCAAGACTTTCCCAGTTTTAGCAGTGCACATCTCTTATCCCTGTCCCCTTAGTCCCTGGAAGCCTAGATATGTGTAAGTTCTGGTCAACCTACCCATTACCCCAAGTTCTGCTTTAGTGACTGTTCACACCACCCAGGCAGAGCCAAGAGATAGCCAAGGAAACCCGGTCCTCAGGGTCACACCAGGGCCACCAAAACTGGGGCTGGAGTGGAGCTTTGGACTTGGGGGACAGGTATGCTTAGAGTGTCTAGTCTGGGGTGAAGGAAGAAAGGTCATTGACTGAGATGGATGTGGGGAGCAGCTTGGGAGAGGAGGCAACCACAGTCCAGTTTTTGTCAGAAGGAGCCTCTGGTTGACCCTGGAGCTGTTTCTGCAGAGGCTCCTTCCTGTCCTCCCGCACCGGGGAAGAGTCCCTAACTTCCTCTGGTACATATTTCCCGACTCACACCCCATCTGTGGTAAGAAAGCCCTTCCTCAACCCTGCCTGCTTGTTGTGGGATCAATCCATTTCTTTTCATCATATCCTCTACCTGACAGCTACTGGGTGAACTCTGCTCTGGCTTTTCTCAAAGCAGAGAAAGTAGGGGCACTGCAAAGAGCAAGGAACTTCCATGACCACTATTACACTCTGCAAATTTCCTGAGCGTGGCAGAGTTGGAAGGGAAGCAGGAAGGCTCATGGTCAGGTTGAAGGGAAGACTGTTCAGTGCTTAGCTTCTGCAGGAAGAGTGACCCTTTCCATGGCCCTGGTTTCCCACTCCCTCATGCCTGTTCCCATGCTCAGCCTCCAGTTCCTCTGTGTGTCTAAGGTGGGACTGGACAGTTGGCTGTGGGAAGGTAGGAAAAAGGTGGCACTGACCTCCTTGCCCAGTGCCCAGATTTTAAATCCAAACTCATGTGTCAGAGTAGCCACGTGGAAAGCACAAGTCAAGTGGTTGGCAAGGGGAAGAAATTGGTATTCTGTGTGATACTAATGAGACTCTTTGAACTTTGGCTTCTATTAAGAGAAGGGAAAATTGATTAACCTAGAGTGGAACCAATCCTTTTAAGTGAGGAGAGGGATTGGGGTGCTGGAAGAGGGACTTCTTCCCACAACTCCACTCATGGCTTGAATCCAAGCCAAGCACAAGGTGCTGGTGACCTCTTTAGGTCATGATGTTACAACCCAAACCTGGACCTTAACCACAGCTCTAACCTACATTTCTTATTACTCTAAAAATCGACTTGTTCACACAAACTGTAAATATACTCAACATTTTGCCCTCTCAATCTGAGCCCATTTCCCCTCTCTGGCTTCCCTCCCTCCTCCTCCTGTATGACACAATTTATTACTCTGTTCAGTTATCCAGTCTAGACCTGCATATGCGGCCACACCCCAGCCTACCCACTCCTGAGTCCCTCTTTCCTCTCTCCTTTCCCCTTCTTGGGCTCTTTTCATCTGCCCCCCCC